TTTTTTTTTTTTTTTAATATTTTTGTAAGTTTTGTATTGATTGCATTTATTAGAAAGTTTAAGAGTAAGATTGCAATTTATTCTTTATTTTTCTTTTCTTTATAAGGGTATATTCGTCATTTTATGTTAAAAATTGGTCAAAAGGATGTTTTGCGCAAGAAAACGCATAGATAGGGATGTTCTACGTCAAAAAATGAAAGGTAGGGACGTTTTGCACAAGAACCGGAAAAGGTAGGGACGTTTTGCGCCAATTACCCTACATATTTCAACACTTTCTTCATCCACTACAATTATGCTGCGCATTCAATGTCTAACAAAATATGTCACCAAATAGCATTCAATATCTAACAAATATAAATACCAAAATTACACACCCAAAGAACATATAAAAGACTATAAATCGACAATAGATTAAACAAATGCTAAAAAGGGTATAAATTCGTTCATCTTAAATAGCATAACGCATCCACGATTTTGATTTAAGAATTAAGAACTGTCCGGAATCCATTTGTAGAGTTGGTGCTCTAACCTTACATCAGAATAGGAGCTTGCGGGACTAGGGCCTAATCGGAATGACGGCCAACAAAGATTGCAATTACATAGCTAATTGTTCCTCTCCTTCTGTTCGATTCTATGTATCGATTCTTTTTGAAAGCGTTGGATTTCAATTAAAATGCAAGTTAAATTTTTGAATGGTCACTGAACTTTGTATCATGTCACAATTTACTTATCGAACTTCTCAAAGCGTCTCATTAACCACTGAACCTTGTTCCGTCATTGTCTATTACTCGTCGACTGGATGCCATTTCATTTAATGTCGACGTGGAGGACAAAAATATGACATGTTCAGTTAACTCCTTCCAACTCAACGCCATTTTCATCAATTCAAACACACACTTCCAAACCACCACCACCTCCATGTCCTCCTCCTTCACCTCTACCACAACCACAACCACTCTCCTCCACCTCCTCTTTCGCCACCACAACCTCCTTCTCCATGTTCACCTCCTGAACCACATTAGTAAATATCCCAATTCACACCATTCGGTATCCCATGAATTTGAACCAAGTATCACCATATTAATAAGATCCCAATTCCTAAATTAAAACTTCGGGCTAGAAGCAGAAACTAGCTATGTACTACATTTTTGACAATAAATAACTTAGGATTTTGCCCCGAATTGAAGTTGTTTTTAATTCACAGAGACAATTGCGATGTCAATGAAATGGATTTGGAGGTTTAGGGCTAGGGTTTGGGGTGGTGGAGGAGCTACTGCTGTTGTTACAGAAGGAGATCATGGGGCAGTGTTTAGGGCGGTGCTGGTTTTGGTTCATGAGGTGAAGATAGAGGTGGTGGTAAGTACGATGGGGGAGATGAAGTGTCGTGTTTTGAATTGATAAAATGATGTTGAGTTGAAAGGAGTTAACGGGTCATGTCATATTTCAAACCTCCACGTCGACATTAAACGAAACGGCGTCCACTTGGTGAGTAATGTACAATGATGGAACAAAATTGAGTGGCTAATGGGGCATTTTAAAATATTCAATGAGTAAGGTCCCATTTGATATGCTAAAATTTTCATGGAAAATAGAATTATCTTTTGCCACGTTTGATATGCTAAAATTTTCATGGAATTCTTTTTCCACAAATGTCACACACGTGAACACTTTCCATGAAATGGTTGAATTGTTTTTTCCACATTTTTGGTAAGAAAATGGAATTCCATATTTTTTTGGCAATAGAAACAAATTTCATAATTAATTGTAAAAAAAAAAAATTCACTTTAATGGACAATTTTCATGTAAAATAAAGTCAAACGAACACTAAGGCACTATTCTCTTTGTCGTTTTCCAGCCGATGCCTGGCCCAGTGGCCCACTCGTGTACACGTAAGCTAAATCCAACACGTTAGTGCCGATCGAAGGTCCGAATATCTCCAGAATCTGAACGTGAGAGGAGCTCAACGACACGAGATGTCTCCGTTCGGACCTCCGGCAAAATAACTAGAACACGATTGTATAAGAAACCAATCGATAAAGAACAACATTTGTCTTTGAAATATGCTGATAAAACGAGAGAATAACATGGCTCCATGTAGTTAGAATTTCATTCAAATTTTGCATTAGCCATTTTGTGTCACATGGTGGAGGTATTTATAGTGTTACAAATCAAATGTGGCCTTTGGATCAAGTTACACGTGGCCTCATCTCCTCGGCTAAAACATCAAGTCCGAACTATCAAGTTGACTCTCCTAACC